CTCTTGGACCTGGGACAGACTAAAGACACAATGGAGGCAGTCCCCAAAATGCTGACATGTCCCTACACGGCTTCATTGTAGGAAAAAAACTCAAAACTACTAGATTAAGCAATTTCCCCCATGGAAGACTTACTGTTTTTTCAGCTGCCTCTGGCCTCTTCTTTTTGGGCTCCCACTCTCAGACCCGCTACTTGCCTTCAGTGTGTGACAGGGAAAAAAATGATCACAGACTTTAATCACAGTTCTTAGGGACAACAGTACGCCCCGGTTCAATAATCTACTCAACATAGCATCATTCATACAGGCTTTTAGATGGCAAGAAACCTAAGCACTTGTTCAGTGGAGCTCACTCCTTTTTTGCACTGAAAACTAATGTCTGTCATTCCTGAGCTATCTCTAAAGCCAGGAAATACTTGCCTCAGCTTGACTTCCCGCTGTCTAATAAAATTTTCTGCAATGATGGAAGTGTTCTATATCTACACTGTCCAATATAGCCACCAGCCATACATGATTACTGATCACTTGAAATGTGGCTAGTATGGAGCTGTTAATTTTATTTTAATTAATACAGATTCTAAACGCCTCAGGTGGCTAGTGGCAACCATACCGAACACTGCAGGCCTATAATATCAAATAAAAATGTCACAATAGTTAGTGTGCCATTAAAAGCAGTGACTACTGATGCATTTCATTCTAGACTCATGAAAAAACAGGTCCAATCATGAGCCAACAGTGCTCTGCCAACAGTAGTAGGCCAAGGAAAGTCTGCAGTCACAGACACGAACAGTTTTTTTTCCCAAAAATTAAGCAAAATGGTAAACTACTCCTACTGCTGTCAGTCTCAGGCCCTACAGAGAAAGTGTTAATTTATACACAAAAAAAGGAAAAGATTTCTACAACTGTGTAATTGCTATAATAAATATGGCTCAGTAACTTAGTGCTAGACACTGTGGAAAAAGCAAGCTAAGGAAAACCAGCTCAGAGGTCACTCAAAATAAAACATCACAAATGCAATGCAGATGTCAGGGTGAATTAGATCTTCAAAGTACATTTACTAGAAACCCACCCCTAATTCAGTAACCTACAGCTATCACTATTTAACTTTCATCAAAAGGATGTTACATAGCTAAGAATAGCAAAGTCCTACTAAGAATACAGAAAGGGGACATTTTACTGAGACAAAAAAACATCTCTTCAGAATCTAGTCCAGAAACCTAATTAATATATAGGTAAGAATCCACAAATATCACACAAACTGAGAAAGGTGAGAGAAGTCTGATTCTACAGAGACAAGAGAATCCAGTACATAATACCAACTTTAAAAATCACCACTCTGTTCAATCTCTCTCAATTAGATAAGAGAATAATTGTTTGAAACACACTTTATTTAAAAGCAACTGAGTATTTCACACTAAAAATGAACTAGGAAACCAAATCTAAGAAAATTACTTAAATTAAGCACACCCTTTTTTTCCCTCCTCAGAAATAAATCTAGAACTATTTTTCATTACTGTATTTGTTTACCAAGCAAGCTATTCATTTAACAAAATCTACGAGATTTAGGGGCTAGGTTTAAAAAAGTTATGCTACAATTAATTTCACTATGAGAAACTTTAAATAAATAAATAACAAAAATAAGAATTTGAGGCCAGTTCTATATAATACTCTATTACAACCTTCATAATTACATAATCATTCAAGTAAGTTTCTTTTTTTATTAAATTAACATCTTGCCTTACTAGATATATTCTTAGAACGCTCACATTAGAGTCACTAAACTCCCCTGCCTGAAGCGTAAAGTCTTATTAGTGGTAACACATACCAGAGTCAGAAACGAGGAGTTAAAACAGGGAGTTCAAATGTATCCCCTTAAAACATTTTTTTCCTTACCTCTTCCTTAATGTTAAAACGTGATGGTTCTTGTCTGCTTCGGTTTGACCGCCTAACTCCATAAACATCAGGATATTCTTCCCACATCTGTAAAATTAACAGACCAAGAATGAATCATTTTCTTGACCTCCATTTACTATTTTCATTACTCACATGATTATTACTATTCTCCTTACTGGAGTATTTACTTCAATTTAAGAGAATTCAAGTAACTAAATATCATGGGTTGTTTTATTAGTTTT